GGATCACGTGCCAGGCGACACCTCGGCTTAGAGCTGGCGCTTCTATTGCGTAAGGCCCATCATCGTTACACCTGTTCACCTTTCAGTCGAACGCGGCATCGTCGTTGATCTGCTCGCCTGTGGTGTCGCTGTCTGCCGGGCGCTCCATGCGACTCCAACGCGGACCCGTCGCCAGCCTCCGTGTGCCCACTTGGACAACGCACGCGACCCTCACGGCGTGTGGGCGCCAGACCGCCGCCCGCGCCCGCCCCTGCGCCCGCCGCCGCCGCTCCGCCCCGCCGCCTCCGCGCCCGCGCTTCGCTCCGCCCGCGCTCCGGCGCGGGGCGGGCGCGGGGCGGGCGCGGGGCGGGCTGGGCCCCGTGAGGGGTCGCGTGGTTGTCCCGTGGGCACGGGGCTGGCGAGGGGTCCCGTTGGTGTCGCATGGGCGCCGGGCAGGCGAGGAGTCGCGTGCGCGTCGGCTGGGTGAGGTGTCGTGTGGGCGTCGCATAGGCGCCGCTCTAGCCGAGGTGTCGCCTGGGTGTCGCGTGCGCGCCGGGTGGGCGAGGCGTCGCGTGGGTGTCGCGTGAGCGCAGGTGGGCGAGGCGTCGCGTGGGCGGGGGTGGGCGAGGCGTCGGGCGTGAGCGCCGCACCGGAGCGGTCCAGTCCCGAGGCAGCTCGCGGGAGGGGAGAGGCCCTGGTGGCGCGCGAGGGGCGTGGTAGGCCGGCGGGAAGCGGCAGCCCGCGCTGAAGCTCGAATTGCGCTCCGAGAAATGTGCTCTCACGGTGACGTCTCGCTGCAGGGCAGAGCCGCGCGGGCTGGCCAGGAGGAGGGAGGGAGTCGTTTCTGGCCGACGGCAATCCGTCTCTGCCACTGCCACGGACGCGCGGCAGAGGGCCGAGGGGCTCCCGCACGGAGACCTGCACTGTCCTTGAGACGTGGCGAAGGCTGCCACTGACCGCGCGCGGGCCGTGCGGCGCCTGCGAGTGGGGAAGGCACGCGGGTGCCCTTTGCTCAGAGGAACCGACCCACTGGCGGTTCACAGTGCCACCAGCCCAGACCACGGCGGGATTTCCTCCAGTCGGGCGGGAAATGTACTTCATGAAGTCAGTGGACCCTAGGCTGTGTGCTGAAGTCCGGGAGAACGCACGGCGACACCGCCGGCTCCCGCACTCCTCCCCGTTCACTCGGCCCCACCGAGCAACTCCGAGTCCCGCCTTGCGGGCCAGCCCTGCGGGGTGGCACCGCCTGCCGCCCTCCGCTGCTGCGGTCAGACGCGGGCCCACCTGCCTGGTCGCTGCGTGCGCGCGGCGGGCTGCGCGGGGCGCGGGGCGGGCTGTGCGGGGCGGGGGCGGGCTGCGCGGGGCGGGCCGCGCGGGGTGGGCTGTGCGGGGCGGCTCCAGCAACGCGCTGCCTGCAGTCTCGGCGTGTGGCGGGCGCACCGCTTAGGCTTGTGTGAGCCCAGCCTCACGAAGCGCTTTCCAGGTTGCGCCCTGCTGTTAAGTGACACATGACTGCTCTGCCACTATACTGCGAGGTTGTCGCCCTGAAAACAAGTGATACATGGCTGTATATTTGGTCTTTGCCCTTGATTCATCCTAACACCCTTGGAATTTTCTGAGTGATAGGAGTGTCGTTTGTACTCACAATGAGCCCCTTCCAACAATGCCTGGATTTATGCTAATGAGGTGACTCAGTTAAACCTTTAGATAGTGTCAAGGGATGAGGCTGGCCATACCAGAAAGACCAACCCCATGCTGCTAGGAGGGTTGGAGCTTTCGGACCCACTCCTCCACCTCTGGGGAGGGGACAAGGACTGGAGATTGAGCTCAGTCACAGGGTTTAATCACTGACTGTTAGTTTGCTGGATCATGCCTGTGTATCGAGACCTTGATGGAAACGCTAAGGGTATTCAGAGAGCTTCCTGGTTGTTAAACATACAATAACATGCATAGGGTGCGGGCCGGGCGCGGCGGCTCACACCTGTCATCCCAGCACTCTAGGAGACTGAGGTGGGAGGATCTTGTGAGCTTAGGAGTTCGATACCAGCCTGAGGAAGAGCAAGACCCTGTCTCTACTAAAAAAAATAGAAAGAAATTAGCTGGACAACTAAAAAAATAAAATAAAAAATTATATATATATAAATTAGCCGGGCATGGTGGCTTATGCCTATAGTCCCAGCTACTCGGGAGGCTGAGGCAGGAGGATCACTTGAGGTTAGGAGTCTGAGGTTGCTGTGAGCGAGGCTGACGCCAGGGCACTCACTCTAGCCCGGGCAACACAGTGAGACTCTGTCTCAAAACAAAGGGGGGGGGGATAGGGCACACCCCACCCCACAGGCCGGAAGCGGCCACCTCTCCCTCCCCAGACCTCGCCTTGGCATCTCTTCCCTTTGGTGTTTCTAAGTCTCATCCTTTATGATGAAATGGTACTTGTAAGCAGAGCGCTTTTCTGAGCTCTGTGAGTCATTCCTAGCAAACTATCAGGGCTGAAGAGGAGCTGTGGAAACCTCTGAATTTGCAGCGGAGCCTGCTGGGAGGGACGTGGCGACCCTGGACTGCGCTGGCGTCGCAGAGGCTGCTGCCGTGCGGGCGGGCCAAGCCCGGCGCGGCCACTCTGGGCGGCGGGCGTCAGAATGGAAGGGGGTCTGGACACCAGGCGACCTGGAGGCTCGCTAGCCAGCACTAGGGAAGGCGGCATTCGCTAAGTGGGTCGCTAGCTCAGAAGTTTGAGGACACTACAGGAAAGTACTTGGTGCAAAAGCACCAGACCTTGAGGATAGATAGAAGGTAGCAATTGTGCCACTTTGAGACACTTCAAGTGAGAGATAAAAGTATTGACATTTTTAGAGTTGAGTTGTACTAAACCATACAAGTATTTGCTAGACGTACTTTTCTTTCTTTCTTTCTTTCTTTCTTTCTTTCTTTCTTTCTTCGTTCTCTTCTCTTGTCTTCTTTCGCTTCCTCCTCTCCTTCTCCGCCTCCTTCCTTCCCTTCCCTTCCTTCCTTTCTTTCTCTCTCTCTTTCTTTTCTTCATTTTTTGGAAGACGAGTCTCACTTGGTGGTTACCCAGGGCATCAGTGAGTCCGTGGCGTCAGCCTTCGCTCACAGCAAAGCCTCACACTCCGGGCTCACTCCTTCCTGGCCTCAGCCGTCCCGATTAAGCTGGGACGTACAGATGCAGCCACCATGCCCAGCTACGTGTTATATATTTTTAGTTGGCCAATTAGTTTCTTTATTGTTAGTAAGAGAACGGTCGTCACTCTTGCTGTGCCAGGCTGGTCTCGAACTCCTGAGCCTCGAAGCAATCCGCCGGCCTCGGCCTCCCAGAGTGCTAGGACTACAGGCGTGAGCCACCGCGCCCGGCCAGATGTATTTTTCAAAAGACATTTTCTCTTCTTATTAGCCTTATCAATAATAATGAAGCCTGTTTACCTAAAATTACTTAGGGGTGGATCTGTCCAAAGGCTCTCTTTTAGCTATATCCTCATATATTTCCATCAGGAGAAAGTCTCAGTGGATCTTGAAACAAAATAGCTGCTGCTATTCAAAGAAGTGTGAATGGTGATGTGAATGTAACACATTGTATTTCTTTCAATGGATATTTTTATTGCATTGGTTCTTTTGGAAGAGTTGATTATTTCGATACTTGCTGCACCCTTCTTTCTTTTTAGTCTCCTTTTGTGTACACTACATGCCCAGATAGGAAGAAGGATATTCTTAGAAATTGGTATACACAGTGGCAGAAATACTCAAGACTTAAAGGAACAAGAAACAGTCCATTATAAAAAAAAAATACATCATTCCAAGAGGATGGGAATAAAGATATTAACACTTCCTGATCTTTAGGGCAATGAGTAGGAAAAAGAAGGACCATGCTTTAAAATTTGGACGGGGGCTGGGCGTGGTGGCTCTTGCCTGTCATCCTAGCACACTAGGAGGCGGAAGAGGGCGGATCGCTCAAGCTCAGGAGTTTGAGACCAGCCTGAGCAAGAGCGAGACCCCGTCTCTACTAAAAATAGAAAGAAACTAATTGGCTAACTAAAAATATATAGAAAAAATTAGCCGGGCATGGTGGCGCATGCCTGTAGTCCCAGCTACTCGGGAGGCTGAGGCAGGAGGATCGCTTGCGCCCAGGAGTTTGAGGTTGCTGTGAGCGAGGCTGACGCCACGGCACTCACTCTAGCCCAGGTGACAGAGTGAGACTCTGTCCACCCCCAAAAAAGACAAAACAAAAATAAAATTTGGACAGGGCAAAACTTCAAAGCAATTGACGTGGCACAATATAACCTAAGTATTTGTTAAATGAATGTAAATAACAAGTGGTTTTTGGTTTTTTTTTAGCAACTGCAAAAATAATAAAGGGCTAGTGAATGTGTGTGGATGCAGAGTCTTCCTTGTGAGGAGTAATATCACCAGCATATTGTGACTTTGTTCTCACCAAATCAGAATCCCCACAGATAGCATTAATTTGCAAGTTAAAATTTTAATAAAAGACTTGTGTCCCCAGATGCAGACCGTCATCTTAGTGTTATTTCACACGAGACTGTTCACTGTGCTTCATCGAATTAGTTCATCAAACCATGAAAAAAAGGGTATAATCGCATATTTTTCTCATTTTAAAAGATTGCAATTATAGTCTTATGATGAATCTTTATAGACTGCCTTTTGCTTTAGAGAAAACATCTTATGTTATTTTCCTACTATTTTTAGACTATAGGAATCTGCTCAAAGCACCTTCAGGAAATTGTGAACATGAATAAAATTATGCAGGCAAGTTTTAGTTTGCTAATTGAATAACACTTTAGTTCGTTCAAAGGGGTTTCATAGAGACTATAATAATAAGTAGTTCATTTATTTTAATTGCTAATTTAATTTTGGCTGTAATACTTTTATTTAGGAAATGACTTCATAGGAGAAGGTATCAGGCAGCGAGAAGAAAAACAATCAAATGTGTAATAATCTTTAGGGTTCCATCAGGCACAGGTATTTTTCTGTGTATTTTTAGTTGTCTGGCTAATTCTGACCCTATTCGGAAGAAATGAGACTATTCTGTAACTGTGACCTTCAAGTGTAATGTGATTACATTGTTATTATATTTTTGATGAATACATATGCATCTTCTATTTTCTCAGTTGGTTAAATGTGCACATAAAGGGTAATCTGGGCGTTGGTACTGTCATGCTCTGAAACCACCCAGCTCTGTGAGCTCAGACTTGCAAGTTAGTGAACCCTTTCTGGATTTCAGGTTCCTGTCTTAAGGAATAACCTCAAGAACCTCTAGTGTGCTTTGACAGCGTTCACATATGCCAGTGGCAGTGGTGAGCACACGATTGCGGTCACAGGAAATGGATCCCCAGCTCTGCCATCAACCCCAATGTAATTGTTCTGAATTCCCATTATTCAGTCTTCAGACAGAGTTAATGACACGACAGCGACACCCTTGAGGCCCTGCTCTGTAGCCCTCTGCCCACCTCTGCACCTGCTATGGTCTCCTTCGCTGCCCCAGGGCCTTTTCTCATGCCACTAGAACTTGTGTAGCCCAGAAGTACCCGGGATTTACTGCCCCCAGGTGAAAACCTCCACCAGTGAAAGGTAGAAATCTTCCTGACCCTGATGGGATCATTCAGAAGCACAGTCCCACAGTGGGCCCCACCAGATTGAGCCCGAGTCACCCACAGCAACAATCTGCCATTAATTCGCCCTATATTGGTGAATCCATCTCTCTTCTCCCACCTCACTTCTTTGGTTTTTTTGAGACAGAGTCTCACTCTGTTGCTTGGGCTAGAGTGCCGTGGCGTCAGCCTAGCTCACAGCAACCTCCGACTCCTGGGCTCAGGCGATCCTCCTGCCTCAGCCTCCCGAGGAGCTGGGACTACAGGCATGCGCCACCACGCCCGGCTAATTTTTTCTGTATAGTTTTAGTTATCTGGCTAATTTCTTTCTATTTTTAGTAGAGACGGGGTCTCGCTGTTGCTCATGCTGGTTTTGAACTCCTGACCTTGAGCGATCCTCCCACCTCGGCCTCCCAGAGTGCTAAGATGACAGGCGTGAGCCGCCGCGCCCGGCCACATGTCACTTCTTACACTACCTCGTTGTGCTTCCTGGAACCACCTCCCAAATAAAGTATCTGCATGTAATTTCTTGTCTCAGGTTTTGCTTTTGGGAAACCCCATTTCATCGTTGCTGTGACAATTAATTGAGAACATGTGTATGAAGCACCTACCAGGCCCCATAATAAGACCCCAACAAATAGTAATTATTATTATTATTGTGTCTGACAGTAGAAAGAGAGTTTCATGGTTCTAGGCACTGTTTAGGTTGTGGTTCTGTAGTTAAGTAATGTTTATGTCCTGCTAAAGTATATTTACATATAGAACACATGGAAAGCGTGTAAGAATAAAAAAAAAAGTATATTTACATAATTTTATGAGTTATAGAAAATGTAAAGAAAATTTTGTAAGTGGGGAAACTTTATGATTAAAATTTTGGTATAGAAAAGTAGCATTTGCTAAGGAATTTTTTTTTTACTTTCTCATTTCTCCTTTTTATTATTTCATATTAAGTCATTATTCTATTTCTGTATGAAATATCATGAATTGAGTACTATTTCCTTGAAGAACCAGTAGAAGAATATCAATAATATGAGACAATCTATGTATAAATAGAAATCTCTTGCCTGCTCCCCATGGTTCTACAACTGCTCAATCATGATTAGGTCATTTATTTGACTTTACCATAACAATTCTAAAAGAATATTAGACATGTTTTATTTCCTTCAGTGCTTGGAATGAATTATTTTAATCTTTTTTTTTTTTTTTTTTTTGAGACAGAGTCTCACTCTGTTGCCTGGGCTAGAGTGCCGTGGCGTCAGCCTCGCTCACAGCAACCTCAAACTCCTGGGCTCAAGTGATCCTCTTGAGTAGCTGGGACTACACCTGGCTAATTTTTTCTATATATTTTTAGTTGGCCTATTAATTTCTTTCTATTTTTAGTAGAGACGGGATCTCGCTCTTGCTCAGGTTGGTTTCAAACTCCTGACCTTGAGTGATCCTCCTGCCTCGGCCTCCCAGAGTGCTAGGATTACAGGCGTGAGCCACCGCGCCCAGCAATCCTTTCATAATCTATACATTTCCTAGGCAAATGCATTAAAAAGTATGTTGTTGTTTGCTGTTAATATGTCACTATATGATTTAAAATGTTTAAAAATGTTTCTTAAGGAAGCATCTCTTGAGAAAAACTCCTGATTAAAGGGAATTTTCCTTGAATAGTCCTTATTTTCCCAGTGCCTGAAACCTTTTAAAATAGGTATATATGCATATGATTAAAAAAGGAAAATGCAGATGGTATATAAAAGGAAAATAAATCTCCGTCTGCATTCTTTTCAGCTGCAGGTAACAGAAGCCTGGCTGAGACTGGCTTCAGTGACAGGGAGATGTCTTCATTCATTTAGCAAAGCCAGGCTAGTCGGGTTCAGGGCTAGTTGATTCAGCAGGTGACACTGTTATCAAGGACCCAGCCTCTTTGTTCCTCTGCTCTGCTCGCGGGCTCCAGCCTGAGGCCGAGATCTTCCTCGGCGGCGCTTCCTGGTCTGTGCCCAGCAGCGGAGGCAAGCTGGCTTCCTGTGAGTGTCTCTTAGGAGCCAGAAGGCAAATCCTAGCCGACTCCAGCAAACTTCTCCTCTCCTCTCCCTTCCCTCCCCTCCCCTCTCCTCCCCTCGACAGAACCCACAGAATCGGGTCACACTTATACCCATCAAGCCATTCCTGGGGGAAAAGCCAACTTTCCAAATGCATTTGGGTAAGATAGGCACGTGTGAGTCACCACGCTGCTTACTGCCGTGGCCCCTTCTGCCTTTTGTGCTCCACTAGCATTCAAGTCTTTTTTGTTGTTGTTGTTAAAGTTCCAGCAATTTCAGTTGTGCTACGGGGGAAATAGGGTTTTTTGCCTGGACTGGGGCCAGGGCATTACAGGGCATCATCAGTGGACCCAAGTCTCATACGGGGCAGCAGAAAGAAGAGAATCCCAAGGGTAAGTAAAAATCATATAATAAAAAATGTCACTCACACCTGCAATCCTAGCACTCTGGGAGGCCGTGGCGGGAGGATCGCTTGAGCTCCAGAATTCGAGACCAGCCTGAGCAAAAGTGAGACCCTGTCTCTATTATAAATAGAATGAAATTAGCCAAACAACTAAAAACAGAAAAAAATTAGCCGGGCATGGTGGCACATGCCTGTAGTCCCAGCTACTGGGGAGGCTGAGGCAGGAGGATTGCTTGAGCCCAGGAGTTGGAGGTTGCTGTGAGCTAGGCTGATACCACGGCACTCTAGCCCGGGCAACAGAGTGAGATTCCGTCTCAAAAGAAAAAAAAAAGCCAATGACAACAATAATAGTGGATTTATATCGAGTGGCTTCTATGCACCAGGTGTGCTAAACATACACTCAGTAAGAATCCAGTTGGGTCTGCCTGGCCAGCTGTCTCTTATCAACTCAAGATTCTCTGTCAAATGCTTAACCTTGTGCTTCTAAGCGTTTTACTAACGGAGGTGACTCCTTAAGGAGGCGACATTAGGATGACGAGGGGCGTAGATGCTGGAGTCTGACAAACCTAGGCTTGAATCTTAGCTCTGCCACTTATTGGCCTCGCAGCACTTGTTGGACACTGGATAACATTCCTAATGCCTCCGTGCCTCAGAGCCTCGTTGCAAAACGGGGAGATGCCAGCGGACGGTCGCGACACTGAGACGCGCGTGCGAGTGCGTTGCCCGGAGCCAGGCGCAGAGTGAGCCTGCAGCAATCCAAGCAGAAGTGTGATGGCGTATGATGGCTTCTGGAGAAAGAGGCCTTACAGGCTTCGCTTTGCTTTGCTTGGTTTGTTTTGGAGTCTTGCTGTGCTGCCCAGGCTACAGTGCAACGACTGTACAGGTGTGATCATAACACAGTACCGCCTCGGACTTCTGGCCTCAAGTAATCCTCCCATCTTGCCTCCTGAGTAGCTTGGGACCGCAGACGGATGCCATCTCGCCCACTGCTTACAGTTTGGTTTTTTTTGAGACAGAGTCTCACTCTGTTGCCCAGGCTGGAGTGCCGTGGCGTCAGCCTCGCTCACAGCAACCTCACACTCCTGGGCTCAAGCCATCCTCCTGCCTCAGCCTCCCAGAGTGCTAGGATTACAAGTGTGAGCAACCATGCCTGGCCTGCTTACAGTTTTTGATACAACAAAACAACAGTGGTACAGCAATTTAAAAATAAATGTTACTGATGTATAATTTGTATATAATAAAAGACACTCATTTTAAATGTAGAAATAAATGAATTTTGACAAGTTAATTTGCTAATATAATCACTGTACAATAATTTTTAGATGGTTATTTCATTATTATAATGACCCTTTCTGTGAGCTATGAGCTTCATTTTATTAGTTAAAAAAAAAAAAAAAAGGACTTGGTGGGGCGCGGTGGCTCACGCCTGTAAACCTAGCACTCTGGGAGGCCGATGCGGGCGGATTGCTCAAGGTCAGAAGTTCGAAACCAGCCTGAGCGAGACCCGTCTCTACTAAAAATAGAAAGAAATTAATTGACCAACTAAAAATATATATACAAAAAATTAGCTGGGCACTATGGCACATGCCTGTAGTCCCAACTACTCAGGAGGCTGAGGCAGGAGGATTGCTTGAGCCCAGGAGTTTGAGGTTGCTGTGAGCTAGGCTGACGCCACGGCACTCACTCTAGCCTGGGCAACAAAGCGAGACTCTGTCTCAAAAAAAAAAAAAAATTGACTCAAAGAGACCAAAAGATTGGCTCGATATCATGTGATTGGCTAATCCCATTTCTAGAACTATCTTGCAGTTATACTTTCACTAGTTCAAAATGACAACCACGGCCGGGCGTGGCGGCTCACACCTGTAATCTTAGCACTAATCTAGCCTGGGCAACAAAGCGAGACTCTGTCTCAAAAAAGAAAAAAAAAAATGACAACCACAAAGTTATTATTGTAGTATTGTTTGTAATGGTAAAAAAATGGAAATAACTCTGAATTTATCAACAGGACTTTATCAATGAGACATTGATAGGAACACTGGGAACACTTATGAACGCTGGGCAGCTGTAGAGAAGAATGAGGGTAACTGTGTGCTGACATAAAAGGAAGTGCAAGATATGTCAGAAAAACAAGGCACAGAATCATATACATAGTATGTCTTTTATGTAAAACATAGGGAAGGGTAGGAAATAAGAATATATATTTAAAGTTGCTTAAGAAAATTCTGGAAAGATACATGAGATACCAATAAAGCATTTACCCCTTGATGAGGGGGTGAGAACTGGAAAGAAGGTGAATAGGGTAAGAAACCTTATTTGATACCATTTTATATTATTTTTTTCTCTTTTTAATTTTTTTTTTTACTTTGCTGGCAAAGGACATTTTATATTTTTATTATTTAAGCACATGATTATCTTTCCTGAGGCTGCTGATTCCTCCCCTCCCATACCCCTTCCTTTTACAGTAGGACTCTGCCCGTCCACCCCTGACCTTTAGTCGGGGAATCCTGGCCCCCTGCAGCTAAGCCCATTCCGGCAGTTCTTGCTGATGGACTGTGACTTAGGTCATTCCCATGTCAACGCCTTTTAAGGAAACTGACAGCCTTCCACTTCCTGCTCTTCACCCTCCTCTGGCTGGAACAGGGACGTGCCTCGGGCCAGCCAGTTTTGCTGAGTAGATGACACGACAACCAGACGTCAGCGGAGTGAGGAGCGTGGACTCCTGGCGGCCTCAGGACGTGCAGCTGCCAGGTTTCTCTGAGCTGTCAAATGGCCAGACCTGGGCCGCTGATGAGAAAGAAGCATCTATCTTTCTTGAGCCAATGAGTTTTGGGGTGTCTATTATAGCAACTGAGTCTATAGCTAAATGAATACATCAACCTTAAAAATGAGCGCAGCGTGTGATGCTTGGCAGTCTAGGGACATGAACCCAAGCGTCCTGGCTCCCCAGCCCTAGTTTGCCACAGCGGGTAAGGAGGCGGCTCAGAATTCACTCACCAACCAATCAGTGTCCACGCTGCCGGTCCAGGTGGGACCAAATGAAACCAACAGAGGTCACTTGAACTATAATGAATGATGGCTTCCCAAGTCTTAGGTTAGAAAGGGAAAACTAGGGGCAAAGCAAATTGAACTTGGAAAAATTAACAAAATGAGCATAATCCAATAGATATTGGGACTTGAGGTAGCAAGGAATTTGTGACTGAAATAAGTTTTAAAAAGTTTTGCCTCATTCAAAAGGAACAAGGTGCAGAGGGCGCCTGCGCCAGCCACTCCGCTGGCGGCCTGGCAGGGCAGGGCAGGGCAGGGCAGGGCAGGGCAGGGCAGGGCAGGGCAGGGCGGGGCGGGATCGCGACTGGCGGGTCGCGGGCCTGCAGGGCAGGCGCTGCAGGGCGGGGCGGGCGGTGCGGGCCTGGCAGGCAGGGCAGGGCGGCGGGGGTCGCGCGGGCGGGTCGCGGGCTGGCAGGCCAGGGCAGGGCGGGCGGGTGCGGTGGCAGGAGCGGGCGGGCGGGGGTCGCGGGCCTGGCAGGCAGGGGGCCGGGTCCGGGGGGGCGGGGCCGGGGGGTCGCGGGCCCTGGCAGGCAGGCAGCGGGGCGGGCGGGGGTCGCGGGCCTGGCAGCAGCAGGGCAGGGCAGGGCAGGGCAGGGCGGGGTGGCGGGAGCTGCCGCTGGCGGCGTGCACAGGTGCGCTCGCTTCTCTTCTAGTCCGATGGCAGCATCTATAACGCAAAGGGACTTCCACTACTTTCTAGGCTCCTGAAAAGGAATGACTGTCACTGCAGTGGGTGGCCAGAGGGAGAAGGGACTTGCCGGCGCCCACCAGCAGGCCCAGCCCACACTCCAAGGAGCACGTGCTCCGCAGAGGCTGCTTGCTGGGTCAGACTTTAAAAGAAGAGCTGCGCACGCCTGCAAAGACGGAAATTTCCTGCAGGCTTACATAACTTTTGCCTTTAAGGAGAATACCAGGACATCTTTAAATTGTTTTTATTTTTCAAGTAGTGCTTGCCACACGCGGGCCGAACAAGAAAGGGTGAAGGCTGCTGCTTCCTGCCAATGACGTCATGCTATCGGACCACAAAGAAAAGCTGAAGCGCAAGTCTTGTTTTGTCCCCTCTCTCCATGAGAACAATGTTTTAAGGAAAACTGGTAGAGCAGTCATGCTTCAAAGTCTACGGAAATCCAGTGTGGCAAACAAGCAGCCCCCGGCTTCAAGTGAGTTGGACTTTCCAGCCGGCCGCGCCTGGCGCAGCGGCCTGGTGGCCCCAGGCCTGCCGTGGGCAGCTCCGCCTTCCCAGGGAGCACGGCGCCGCCGGGCGCTGCGAGCCTTTCTGTCTTCCCCTCCCTTCGCAGGGCGCCATTCACATGCGGTCTTAGCTCAGCACTTACTGAGAGCCTACTGCATGCTTGGCATACAGTAGGCATAATGTGGTGGTCCCTGTTCTCAAAAGTTGTGAAGTCTAGGCCGGGCGCGGTGGCTCACGCCTGTAATCTTAGCACTCTGGGAGGCTGAGGCGGGAGGATCGCTCAAGGTCAAGAGTTTGAGACCAGCCTGAGTAAGAGTGAGATGCTGTCTCTACTAAAAATAGAAAGAAATTATCTGTACAACTAAAATATATATATAAAACTTAGCCGGGCATGGTGGCGCATGCCTGTAGTCCCAGCTACTTGGGAGGCTGAGGCAGGAGGATCGCCTGAGCCCAGGAGTCGGAGGTTGCTGTGAGCGAGGCTGACGCCACGGCGCTCTAGCCTGGGCAACAAAGGGAGACTCGGTCTCAAATAAAAAAGCTGCGAAGAGGGCAGAAATGGATGCAACGCAAGAGGCTGGCGCTCTGTAGGCCGGGGTCTGCCCTCCGAGCGTGCAGGCTCCACGTGCGCGCCCCTCACCTCTCCTGGTCGCGCTCTCCCCCAGGCTGTCCCCCCCCTGTCCTGCCCATGGGACTCAGCCTGGATGGCCTGGAGCCCCTCGCAGGGTCAGCTCCGCGCTTGGAGACGACATGCCCTTAGCCAAAGGCCGCGGGGGTTCGAGTCCAGAGGCCCACCCGAGCGGACAGCAGGAAGGACGAATTCAAGGACCCCAGACGCCTGGCAGTTTGAAGTCTCTGGCCGGACTCTGAGTCGCCCCGTCTCACGAGGTGGTTTGTCTCTTTCTTCATTCAGTAGGCTGGTGTTCCCCACGGGCTGATCACAGCCCGCCTTACCGGTTCCCGCCACATCCGGTCGTTATCTTCAACCACCTGGTGGCCGTGGGTCCCCTCTCTGGCCACGAGGAGCCGCGGGAATCTACAGCGCATCGGACACGCCACCCGGCACGCGCAGGACCCCGCCGCTCCACTGTCCCCAGACACGCGGCGAACACCCGACCTCTGCGGGGAACGTCCTTCCCCGCGACAGAGGGTCCCGCCTGGCGCCCGCACCCCGGCCACCCGCCTGGCGCCACGGCCGCGCCCCGTGGCCGCGCCCAGCGCTCGCGCCTCGGGGCCTCCGGATCCGTGTCCAGCGACTGAATAAGGTGGCTGGTCCCCCACGCGTGACCTCTGTGTCACACCGCAGGCCTGGGTGCCGGCGCTCCAGAGCCGCCGACAGCTGCTTGGGTCCTTCTGCGGAGGCGTTTGCTTTGTCGCCTCCGGAGCAGGCGGTGCTGGGCCGGGCGCAGCCCCAGCACTAGGCCTTTTCCTCCCCGATTGGGTCCCCTACCCGGCCGCCCGCCACGGTGGCAGCTTCCAACGGCCTGTCCTTCGGTCTCTCCCTGCTGGAGGGAAGACTCATGGAGGCGCCCGCCCCGCCCGCCGCCGCCCCTGGTGGCCTGCGTCCCCTTCCGAGCCCGTTCCTCGGGCCGGGCGCGCCGGCTCGGGGCTGACTTCACGGGAGATGCTGTCCCTGCGTCCTGTCCCCCCGCCTGCCTTCACTCTCCCGGCAGCCGCCCCAGCTAAGCGCGTGGGGGACTCGGGCCGGCAGCCCGCGCACGGGCTTGGGGCTCCGTGGCGCCGCGGAGGGTGGCTTGGGGGCGGCGGCCACATCCGGGGAGGCCCAGCCCGCGGCCCGCAGACCCGGCTCGGAACCCGCCCACCGCCCGGGCGCGCGGCTCGCACCCCTTCCCGGGCGGCGAATGGTCCCTCCCGGGCGTGGCCACGTGGCGCGGATAAAGGGGGCGAGGCGGCGCGGGGGCGGCGCGCGGAGCCGAGCGCTGGCGGTGGCCAGAGGCGGCGGAGGGCGGCCGGGCACAGCGGGAGCGGGAGCGGAGCCGCCGGCGCGATGGCCGTGGCCGTGGGGAGACCGTCCGTGAGTGCCGGGCCTCTGGCTTTCCTGCGCGCGGCTCCGCAGCCGGGGAGGGCTCGGCTTCGGGGCGGGGGCGCGGGTGCGGATGTGGCGCGTCCGGGCAGAGGGAGGCGGAGGACCCAGGGGCTCGGCGACTGCGCGGTGCCAGTGTGTCGCCGCGGTGCACCCCTTCGTCGGGGAGCGTGGGAGGAAAAGGGCCCCTCTCCTGGGCCCCTGAAGAGGGTTCTGTCGCGCGCGGCGTTGCCCGCCCGCCGCCCGCGCGCACCTTCAGCCCGCGGCAGGCGACGGCGATGGCGACGCGGGCGCGGGTGCGGGGCTTGCTCCCAGGCTCCGGCGCCAGGCGCGAGCGGGCGCGGGAATCGGGAGCCCGACCGCTGCGTGTCACATGGCTGGGGACGCGGGTCAGAGGGGTGGGATTTCCGTGGTGGCTTCCCCGGCGCATTGTGAGATTCCCGGACACCCCTCCCGCAGGCACCCACGGGGCGACCGGGCCCTGCCCAGGGTGTGGACGAAGCCCTAGATGCACAAAGTTCTCCAAAGGCGCCTTCGGCGGGTGGGCGGGCGCGCTGGGGAGTCCCGCGGCTGGAGGCCGGGCGGCGGTCGGGGGAGGCGGGGACGGGGGTAGGGCAACCCCTCGCCCCGAGTTCGGGCGGGACCCGGAGGGTGCGGTGCCCCGGCTGCGCCGCAGCCCCGCGTGCAGGGCGGAGGGAAGGGGCGGCGGCGGCCTTCCCTGTTTCTAGGAAGGAGCCGCCCGGGAAAAGGCGGAGCCCCCTTTCTCTTTCCCCTTTTCTTTGTCGCCGCTCCGAGTCCACTTTCTCCTGGCGGGCTCTGGGACGCCCGGGGCGAGGTCCTTCCCGTCTGCCGCCTCCGGTTCCTTTTCTTTCTGCCGCTTCCGGCAGCTGTGCCGCCGCAGGGTGGCTTGGGAGACTTTGCAATGGACAAAAGTCCCAAGGGGACACTGGGAGCTCTGAAGCCCAGAAATGCAAGGCTGTGCCCCCAGACCCCGGGCCCTTCCGTCTCTCTCCGCCTGACTCCACCCCGCGCGCCCCGCGCCCCGCGCGCCCCCCGCGCGCCCCGCGCCCCCCGCGCCCCGCGCGCTGGCCTCTGCGGCTCCCAGTTCGCTTTCGTGGGTGGGTCGCCGCGGAGCTTTCAAAACTTTTTTCCGCGAAGGTCGGAAGAAACGTGCAGTGTCATTCGAAGTGTGACTGTCTTCAGGCCTTTTACCTCTACTGTTTAGTGACATATTCTTAAGAGTTCTGGTCTCCTCTTGCACGCAAATTGCTCTCTTGATAATTAGTGGTCATAGATTTTTGTTAGCTGGGAATTCTTAACAGTTCTGGGCTAATCGTCTTATTTTTCTGGTGAGGAAACTGAAGTCTATAGAGGTCAAGTTTTATCTGGTTAAATTACTCTCCCCAACCCTCTCCTCCCCTACCCCCCCACTTATTACGGGCACAGATTTCAGAGAACTGAAATCACAATATCTGCTTTAGATAAATTGGCAAGCGTCCAGGAATGCAAATATTTTGTGGGGTATGTGTCTTTTTCAGCAACATCTATTGCTAGTGCATTCTTGAGGGGTGAGGGAGCTGGGAGAAATAATTTGCTGCACATTTTCTATAAATTAGTTCATATATATTATCAGCTAATTAGGAATAGTGTGTGGATTTAAGATTTAGTTGTGTGACCATAATCACATCCAACACCAGGTCTGCCAGCCGTATGTGAGCTTAATCCCACAGAATTCTTGTGTAAAACCTCCCTCTTAGGCAGGGTGCGGTGGCTCACGCCTGCAATCCTAGCACTCTGGGAGGCCGAGCGGGGAGGATTGTTTAAGCTCAAGACTTCAAGACCAGCCTGAGCAAGAACGAGAATCTGTCTCTACTAAAAATATAGAAAGAAATTAGCTGGACAACTAATATATATATATACATATATGTATATATATATATATATATATATATTAGCTGGGCATGGTGGCACATGCCTGTAGTCCCAGCTACTCGGGAGGCTGAGGTAGGAGGATCGCTTGAGCCCAGGAGTTGGAGGTTGCTATGAGCCAGGCTGACGCCACGGCACTCAATCTAGCTTGGGCAACAAAGCGAGACTCTGTCTCAAAAAAAGAAAAAGAAACCCTCCTTCTCCAGATAATAGAGATTTTTTTTTTAAGTATATGTGTACAGAGGAAGTAACTTCTTTATCCACATTCCCTGTTGTCATTAGAATTACGATAAAATTACTTGCAATTTAAAAACAGAAGACTTTTTTTTTTTACTGAGTTGTATGGGTGATCAGGAATTGACTACAAAGTTGAAAAGTCTTTTAATATACTATAGAAAATGTGTAATCACATTTCCAGGGGATTGTTGAACCGTTTCACTTTGTTCATTGAGTTATTGTCTTAAGTGTGGTCTCTGCAGTTATGTCTTCAAAACAAAACCAGTGAATGGGGAGATTCTCCAGACCCAGCTCTGCCCTTCCAATCTCCTTTTCCATTCTATGATTTGAAAAAAAAGGAAGGATGAGTTTAGTGAGGGTAAAGAATTCCTCAGAAGTTGATTTATGTGTGAATGGAGTTTCCCTGGTTACTCCCTTAGAGTTAGATATTTTTTTTAAGTTGTTTAGGAAAACAGGAGCATATCTTCTTTCCCTCTCCCTCAATCAGCCTCTCCCATCCAGACTGGAGAAGAATTTAATCTGAACAACTTGCCCTCAATTTTACACCTTCTTGAATTGAAACTCTAGTGTGATATCCTGGGTAAATATGACTTTTTTTTTTTTGGGAGACAGAGTCTCACTCTGTTGCCCGGGCTAGAGTGCCGTGGTGTCAGCCTCGTTCACAACAACCTCCAACTCCTGGACTCAGGCGATCCTCCTGCCTCAGCCTCCCGAGTAGCTGGGACTACAGGCATGCGCCACCATGCCTGGCTAATTGTTTCTATATATTTTTAGTTGTCCAGCTAATTTCTTTCTATTTTCAGTAGAGACAGAGTCTGGCTCTTGCTCAGGCTGGTCTTGAACTCCTGACCTTGAGCAATCCTCCCCGCCTCGGCCTGCCAGAGTGCTGGCATTACAGGCGTGAGCCACCGCGCCCGGCCCGATATGACGTTTCAGTGGGCAAAACTGCTCACGCGTCCATTGTAGCATCTTGCGTCTTATGAAGTGGTTATATTCAGTGATGACTGAAACTCAAGACTAAATTTAGGTAGGTTTTTAAGGGAATTTGCTGTTGACTGCAAAACAAAAGCTTCAGTTTATGGTGATACTGTTTGTTTCCATTCCGGTCTCTGTCCCTTGCCTTTCCGTTTCCCTATCGACAGTTTTAGGGCTTGGCTTTCAGAAAACCCTTGATGCACGCACATCTGCTGTTTCCAGAGAGTAACCCATGATGACCAGGAGCACCGCCTCAGGTGTCTGCATTTTGGATGAATTAGTATTTTTGCATCCAAGACCCAGGGCAGCTGTTACTTTTATTTTAAACAGAACGTGGTGATTTACTCTACCTGGGAATCAGGCTTTCTGTGGCCAATTCATTCTCTCTTAAGCTGTGCTGCTCATATGGGTTCTAAGAGTGGAGACGAGCTTCTAGAGGTCATTCGGTTCAGCTTTCTCCCCAGTGCAGAAATGGTTCTTCTTCTTCTTCTTCTTATTATTTTTTTTTTTTTGAGACAGAGTCTCGCTTTCTTGCCTAGGCTAGAGTGAGTGCCGTGGAGTCAGCCTAGCTCACAGCAACCTCAAACTCCTGGGCTCAAGCAATCCTCCTGCCTCAGCCTCCCGAGTAGCTGGGACTACAGGCACGAGCCACCATGCCCGGCTGATTTTTATATTATATATATTAGTTGGCCAATTAGTTTCTTTCTATTTTTATGGTAGAGACGGGGTCTCGCTCAGGCTGGTTTTGAACTCCTGACCTTGAGCAATCCGCCCGCCTCGGCCTCCCAGAGTGCTAGGATTACAGGCGTGAGCCACCGCGCCCGGCCAGAAATGGTTCTTGATCCCTAACGAAAGGTTTGTGTTTACATTTTTCCAGTGGTGACTTCTCTATGATATCCTTCAAGAAATGCACTTAATGCTCTTTTATCTGTTGAGCCAAAAGGAATGAAAAGCCAAGTTCACCATTTAGCACTGTTTATTGAGCACCTACTGTGTGTGTGGCACTGTTGTAGGAGTTGGGGATACAGCCAGTGGGCAAGAGAGAAATTGCTTTCTTAGCTGGAGCTTTTATTTTCTTAGAGACTCAGTGTCTGTGTGTACTGAAGTGACAGCCTCTGTGGGCTCTGTCAACCGCTGAGGGAGACGGAGGTTATATGCCTATTGATGAGTCGACAATTATGATTCAAGGGTCTCACCTGTCTGGGGATGATTACAGACAATTATTAGAGATAAGGTCTGTTTTAGGGTGGGGACATGGTGGTGGTGAGCAGTGACAATCAAATGGCACTTTCCTTTGTTCTAAAATTGCCACGTCTGTGACTTGAGGATGTAGCCCCAGATGGAAGGTTCCGGCTGGTGTCCCTGGAGGAAGATGAATGGAGCTGACAAAGGTCCAGGGGAGGGCCATCTAGGTGATAAAGGGGGGGCTGTCAGCTACAGGTGGTTTTTAAAAATTAGAACTCTTTAGTCAGTGATTTAAATTATACAATTGAGGCTCTACAAGCAGTTAGTAAGTAATGCAAGAAGTGTGTAAGATATAGTCATCCCGAGCCCTTTTAAATCTTTTGAAAGCTGTAGGTTAATTTTTTGTAATCTTTTAAAATGATCTTCTTTAAAAATGATGTGTCTACATTACAGTGAAAAATAGACTCGAGGAATTGATTAAAAGAACAGAACTACCTGTATTCTGCCACACTGATGTAACAGCTCCGAGGCTGTTGGTGCATTCTCATCAGCTCTCTGAGGTTTACATCCACAAATACAATCTACCTTCTGTAAACTGCTACTTAGAAATCAACCTGCATGCCGGGATGGGCCCAGTCTGGCCATTTGAACATCTGATAGTGGAG